ATAATTTCGACACTTTAAAATGCACCAAACGATTATTTCCGATATGTATTCCGGCTCGGGAAGCGACACCGAGAAATATCCCTCTAAGCAAAGCTATAATTTCGACACTTTAAAATGCACCAAACGATTATTTCCGATATGTATTCCGGCTCGGGAAGCGACACCGAGAAATATCCCTCTAAGCAAAGCTATAATTTTTCGACACTTTAAAATGCACCAAACGATTATTTCCGATATGTATTCCGGCTCGGGAAGCGACACCAAGAAATATCCCTCTAAGCAAAGCTATAATTTTGAGACTTTAAAATGCACCAAACGATTATTTCCGATATGTATTCCGGCTCGGGAAGCGACCCTCCTCTAAGCAAAGCTATCATTTCGAGAATTTCAAATACGCAAGATTTAAAAAAACAAAAACAGTTACCAAGTTTTGTCATTTTGATGGACATTATTTTTCCTTTTTTGTCTGTAAAGTTTCTTTGTCTCCTTGTATGATTCCCTTCAAGAAGATATAACTCTTCAGTTTTGTGATATATCCAGACACCCCGATGATATTGATCTTTGGAGTGGAGGAATTTCGGAGTACCGCCTACGGGGAGCAATGATTGGTCCAACGTTTGCCTGCATCATCGCTCGCCAGTTTGACAATGTAAGACGAGGTGATCGATTCTGGTACGAGAATTCCGGTTTCCCATCTGCATTTACTCCAGGTAAAGCTCTTCATGTACATTAATTTGTTGATGTTCAACCAATCCAGCAAAACAAATTCACGTTTTTTAAGACATTTTCCACAAGTTCGCGGGAGTAGTTAAGAATACTGCAAGCAAGAGCATTAAAAAACGCATTTCTTTTACTGGTTCGAATTCCCTCTGTACGACTTGCCATAATTTTGGAGGACTACTGAGTCATTACCAGTGGTGTAAGTATGTCCAAGTAACTGCGGGGGGGGGGGGAGCGAATCAGCTAGATTCGTAACTACGATTAAAGTAAAATAAATGTAGGGGACTCAATTACTTTTTTTCTTTTTTTTTTGCGGGAGTGGGGTGGGGTGGCATCTTTTGTAGTTATGCCACTGATCATTACCGTACAATTCTGAACTGTACAGTAGCCAAGTGGCTTGTATTTGAAAGCCTTTGGACATTTGTAGTGTGAAATGTATGCCACTTCTCATCACTATCTCTAATTTCGTGAATTCACACTGCTGTGAGTTAGCCTTGCGGGGCTGGCCTAACGATTAACCTGCTGTACTACGCAGGAAGTGTCGAAGATTCGAGCAGGCGACATGTCTCTGAGTACGGTCCGCACTTTCATCTGTATAATCCCGTTATTCATTTAAGACTGGCCGCATAATAGTGCTGACTGTAGCCCTTCCTTTGAGCAGCACTTCTAAACTAGGGTTATGGTTTAGGTTTAGCGTCTCCACCTAGCTGCTTAGTCAATGTGTCACATAAGACGGCGTTCAGGTAGAAGATAACAAAATACCGAAACAACCTTTAAACATACATTAATATATTTAGTTACCATTTCTTGGATTTGCTAGTTTCGGCGAGCTCGGACTAGCTTAAAGGCCTTAATTTTTTTATTTACTTCTCGGCTTCGTACTTCGCTGCCTATATTCTAAGCCTCGTAATTTACTGTGTGTAACCTATTCTGCTCCATGAGGCCCAGGAAGTGTCTTGATAATGGACAACAGTATAAGTTAATTTTACAAGCTAGTTTGACTATTAATTGCTAATAAGTTTAGTTATAAATATAGCGAATGATACCTGAATTCAACCCTATAATCAATACAGTACGAAGTTAAAATCAATCGCATTTTACGATGAAACATTGGTAGAGTCGAAATGCAACAATTCGTTGTTCTGTGCCTACCACGGGTATCGAAACCCGGCTTTTAGCGTTATAAGCCTTCAGGTTTACTACCGAGCCACCGGGGGGGGAGGGCATATTCCTTAAGATAACCATCGATTAACGTTTGAATGTATTAAAAAGCAACAACTAATCCAGTAATACACAGATATTCCAACAGTCTATATACTGTGTATTTCTAAAAGAAAAAATTTAAACACTAATTACTAACTGAATGGTGATGTCCGAAAACAGAAATGTAAAATATATAAAAAAAAAAACGCTAAGTATCGAACCTAACTATCAAGGATAAAATAAGCGATACTGCTGATAAATTATGATATTAGACTTTTGGCGTAAAGCTATACATGGTGCTATCTGCGCATAGCCGTTCCTAATTTTGAGCTAATAAAACAGAAGGAAGACAGCTGAAGAATATGAACCAATGTTCTATCGAAACATGTAGTATGTTCCTGCCAAAATTAGTCGCTTCATTTTGCTTATAAATTATTGTTGGCCAACTTATTATTATATTAGCATAATGTGCTTCCTTAATCAAGTAAATTAATCTTTATACAGCAAAGTTTGAAAGTAAATATCATGAAAAACAATTATGTTGTTATAAACTTAATATTACATATAGCTAAATTTTAAGGCTATTAGGTCTGGCATAACCAGATGGTTAGGGCGCTCAACTCGCATTCTGCGGGTCGCGAGTTCAAATCCCCGTCCCACCAAACATACTCGCTCATTCATCCGTGGGAACATAATGATGTGACGGCGAATCCCACTATTCGTTGGTAAAAGAGTAACCCAAGAGTTGGCGGTTGGTGGTGATGACTAGCTGCCTTCCGTCTAGTATTTCACTGCTAAATGAAGGACGGCTAGCGCAGATAGCTCTCGTGTAAGTTTGCGCGAACTTCCAAACTTTTAAGGCTGTTAAAACATTGTAGAATGTTTATTTATTTTTTATAAATTTATATTTGGCACTCACATGTAACTGTGAAGTAGGAAATTTTTCCAAAGAATTTGTGTTACGATTTTTAGTTGTTTGATCACTCTATACAAGGTTTTATTTATTTTTGCCACGCAGAACAACTCCAGGAGATAAGAAAATCGTTCCAGTCCAAACTCATATGCGAAAATGCCGATGATATTCCTACTATTCAACTCTATGCTATGCGGCTCCCTCACCCCATCTAGTGAGTAAAGTGTAAACTCTGTCTTTCTTTCCCGAAAATACAATAACCGATTTATTGTACATTTTGGCAATTACTGTTAAAAATAAAAGACCTTCATTCTCCAGATAATAATAATAATCATTTTATTTCAGTCAGCGATTCGTCAATTAGGATTTATCAGGGATAGAAGTACAAGAATCGTTTTATTGCCAAAGTGTTTAAATCCCTCTAGTATGTACTACACATTCTAACAAAAAACAGTTTATCATACGGGTGTGCTGTTAATAAATATGATATAGTGAAGGTTAAAGTTAATATACAAAATATAATATACCGAAGGTTAAAGTTAATATACAAAATATAATATACTGAAGGATAAAGTTAATATATAAAATATAATATACTGAAGGTTAAAGTTAATATACAAAATATAATATACTGAAGGTTAAAGTTAATATACAAAATATAATATACTGAAGGTTAAAGTTAATATACAAAATATGATATAGTGAAGGTTAAAGTTAATATACAAAATATAATATACTGAAGGTTAAAGTTAATATACAAAATATAATATACCGAAGGTTAAAGTTAATATACAAAATATAATATACCGAAGGTTAAAGTTAATATACAAAATATAATATACCGAAGGTTAAAGTTAATATACAAAATATAATATAGTGAAGGTTAAAGTTAATATACAAAATATGATATAGTGAAGGTTAAAGTTAATATACAAAATATAATATACCGAAGGTTAAAGTTACTATACAAAATACAATATACCGAAGGTTAAAGTTAATATACAAAATATAATATAGTAGAGGTTAATGTTAATATAACAAAATATAATGTTTGCTAAATATTTTCTTGTAGCCAGATAATTTAAATGATGAAAACATTATTAGAAACGCTTTTTTATATAGTTATTCGGAATGACTTTTGGCTCGATGGTATTTTGCTATTGACACAACTGCTACTGACACAATTAAAATTATGAAAAACCAAACCGAAGATATCAGATAAAATATTGCGATACCTATACGATGTGTACAAGTTTTATGCTGCTGTTATGATAATAAAACAAACATTTTTATGTGAAATTCATGCTAAATAGATTAAAGTTGTATAAATACATGTACACTCGTACAACCTTAAAAGAAACGATAATAGGTTTTATTTCAAGATTATAAAGATCTGGACGTTAACTGGCCCCCTAAAATCAGTGTTTCTCAATCACCGGTCCACGGATCAGCGTCCATACCTCACAACCGCCTTGTTGGTCCGTGAGATTTCTTTAAAACAAACAAAAACTTACAGAATACTCATTTATAATTTGTACTGATTTTTCATTTTTCTTACATTTTAGTGATCCGCGATAGTTTAGGGAGGCGGCGAGTAGCCGGTCCCTTGTATCGAACAGGTTGAGAAACACTGAGTTTCATGCACCGATAAAACGACCAGGTTGTGTCAATGGGTTAACTGGATTTGACATGAAGGTTAAGAGGTACTGGTTAAAAAGAAATTCACTAATAAATACTAACACATGTAGTGTAAGCAATAAAGGAATGAAAATGGCGTCTACCGTTAAAATGCTCATCTTTTTATCTTATCAAGCATCGTATTAAAATTATATATTAACAACTTTTTCTTCGCGTTTCTAGCAATCCTCGACTGCCTTGCAAAGAAATTCCTTCCATAGACCTGCGTTACTGGCAAGAAGACCCCGTGCACGGTGGATACACGTTCAAGAAGTAGTCCTAACGTGGCGACCAGATTTAGGCAGCCGATCGTTGCTCCATCTATTGGTGAAATGATGAGTGGGGATGCGGAAGCCCACATGTTATTTCCTTCGTCCATTACCGCTGACCATTAATAGAGACTGTGACCAGAGAGCTTTCCTTTGTTGTGAACCCGAAAGCAGAACCAAGTTGTTCATATTTTCGTGTTATAATATCTGTGTTGGTTTGACTTCTGTTTCCTTTCTTCTTGGGTTATCTTAATTTGGGTGTTTTGGCGGGGAAGTATAAAAGGTTTTGTATAAAAGTATATGTACTCATATGTGGACATTTTAATCGATATAAATTAGTCTATTTTTTTAAACATGTTGTTGCAAGTAAACTTTGGCACCTAAAAAAATATCCTGATATATCCCCCCACCCATATCCTGCTGGCCACATCCTACTCGATGACGTCACAGATTTCGTCTGATGGCATGCTATAAGTTTAAATTTTATCTGTAAATAATAAAATTCTTACTTGCGGTGTCTGACAATTATTGATAGTATTTCTATACCGTCTGACTTTCCCTTTTGTATGTTGTTAATTTTTTTGGAGAGTGGGGTGGGGGGAGACGGAACTGACAGTAAAACAATCAGTCATTTTTAGAACTTTTTTTTCCATGAATTGATGCTGGATGTTCTTTAAGAGTAAATTCATCCTCAAGTAATTGTAGACATATTTTGACTCAGACTAATAAAAAAAAATTAACTTTAAAGAAGTGCGTTTCTAAACAACTGAACTGATGCTCAATTAATTTTGATTGGGTATTCTTACTATTGGAATAACATCTATTTATGACGATTCACCTTGCGTAATAAAAGCTGATTCGTAAGTGGATCTTGAAAACTCGTGTAAGAAGTGTTATATATAATGAGGGCCGGGTGTGGCTACACTATGAACCTGAGACTCCATGGTCTTATTTGTTTGTTGTTAAGCGTAAAGCTACACAATGGACTGTCTGTACCGTACCCACCACGGGTATCGAAACCCGAATTTTAGCGTTATAAGCTTCCAGACTTATCCCTCAGCTACTGTGTTGGGGCAGGGCCCATGGTAAAGCAAATATATGCCTTGCTGAACAGTAATTGTGGTATGTAACTTTCGTCTAAGCTAAAGGATTATGGTGATTCTATGTTCAGTTTACAAGGGCGCCAACTAACATTCAGATATGTTATGGTAATATTTAATCACGCGCGAACTACTGCGCGTGAGATCAATTAAGTACTGCAGGAAAATTTTGAAAAAAATAAATTACTTGAACATACATAAATAAATAACATTCTTTGATAGTTATAAAAGGGTGAAACGGGTAGTTATTTCAAGTACGACTGTGCGTTAGTTCTAAAACTTAAAATTTCACAATTTACACGTGACTGAACTTCAAGGTCATTTTAAGTTTTAGAACTAACGGTAAATATGTCTTATTTCAGTTTGAAAAACTAAAAAATCACGAGTTCTCTTTCACCACAAATTAGCATAAACACCTGATGTTGAAACACAGGTATTACGTGCATTTATGCTGCTATGCCAAAAGTCTTAGAACATTTCTTGAAATACGAGACAAGACTGACTGAACATGTTCTGCAAGGGGTATAAATGACAAATAGAGAGATTAGCACTGTTGAAGTGTGTGCAAGATACGAAAACTTTGTTAAACACGCGAATTTGTAGAAACAGAGTTTATGATGTGCAGAAAGTGTTAAAACTTAATTCGTAAAAATAACAGGTAATATTTATTTATGTGGGAGTTACTTTGCTCGAGTAGGAAATAATTAACAATACCATGCGTCAAGTGTGAACAGCGCCACCTGTTAATACTTTAGAGCTTGATCTCTATTGAACTCTTTGACTTAAAAGAGCTAGGATACGCAAGCTCCACTGGACTAGACTTTGCATTACGAAAAAAATGTATTCAAAAGCATTGTTACTGGATTAGATGTTTCACACACAAAAAAGTTCCAAAAATGAATTTCTGGACGTAGCTGTTTCATAATGAAAAAAAAAAAATCAGAGAGAGAGTAACTACTGAACCAGAATTGTATCATAAGATGTGTTATTACAGAAGCCTAATTACGGAATCAGGTTTTACAAAACAACCAAACTATTAGCAAACTAAAATTATTAACTTACGTTTTCAATTCACTTAGTAGCACCAAAGTGTAGTCACCGGATTATGTTTCGCGACACAGTAATTATCAACGAAATAAAATGACTGGATCATCTGCTACAATAAAATTAACTTCTGTATTTATGCCGCAGATAACCTTATTTCCGAAAGATATTTTGTTTACAAGAATTCTATACAGGCACAAAATATCATCGAAGTGTGAAAGTTTGTTGGAATATTACTGTGAATGCTGTTCTATACATACATCAGATTATACCAAAGTGTTACAATAGGTCTCCATTCTACGCTCTTCGATTTTTTACCAAAACATCACACGAGGGAGCAGTTTTAAACACAGATGAAATTTTCCCGAAGTGTGTCTAATGGATTCCATTTTAGATACATACGAAATACACGAGTATTTTAACGATTTTTAATAAGCAAATTTAGCAAGTCACGTGACAACCACAACCAACGTGAACTCGCAGTGAAACAGAATGTATCAGAATTACAATTTGATATTATTTGGCATTACTTAGATAGTGTGACGCCACCGAAAATTGATCGCTTTTGGGAAAATATTTAATGTCTCTTTCTGATTCAAAACATCCATACACCCAGATCATAAAGATGGGTTCAGACTGATGATTTAGAAGTTCTAAAATGGAGATACCCTTTGTATTTAATGACATTGGAATAATAAAGGGAAGACGGATCAACTTGGGAAACCAAAAACAAAAGAAGAGATATAGACAGTAAATCCAGTTCTATACACATCAGAGATACTACCAAAAATATAGACAGTAAATCCAGTTCTATACACATCAGAAATACTACCAAAAATATAGACAGTAAATCCAGTTCTATACACATCAGAGATACTACCAAACTACAGATAGTGGATCCAGTTCTATACACATCAGAGATACTACCAAACTACAGATAGTGGATCCAGTTCTATACACATCAGAGGTACTACCAAAAATATAGACAGTAAGTCGTACATCAGAAGTAATAAGCAAAGTGCATTGTCTTGAGAGAAGTAAGAATCCACGAACGCGAGGATCAGTGGCAAAAGGCGTCCACATTTCCAGATAACGATAAGCAACATAATAAAAAAAGGATTTAAACTGGCAAAGCGATACAAGTGACGTGTACATAAGTTCCTTCCACTACACAACTGTTTGAATGTCGCGTATCTCGAGCAGCTGGAAAAGGAAACGGGTACTCATACTATTCGGACAAAGACATAATGGTCAAGTTGCCGGACGAAGCGCCTAAGAATTTCTGTGCTATTGCTGGGAAACTCTCGTCCTCGTATACTTGACGGTATATGGAAAACGAACAGGAAGAAGGGATGTGCTTTGGACGTGACAGCTTTACAGCATAGGTTTTTGCAATGGAAACTACACCCGATGGCTTAATGTCAAGATGCACGGTCGTCAGATAGAGTATGACTGGACGTGACGACATAGATTGGTCAGCCTCCAAAATTGTTTTAATATATGTGCTCAACCTCCTTGTTACCAAAGACGTAACAATAGGATACAGGTCTACGGACATATGAAGCATTTTCCAAGTGTGCCTACTCGATGAAGTCCTATTTGAACTTTTTTTTCAGTTTAAAAATTTGCTTTGTTTGTTTGTTTGTTTTAGAGCAAAGCCACATTGGGCTATCTGCTGTGTCTACCACGGGGAAATCGAAACCAGGATTTTAGACTTACCGTTGTCCCACAGGAGGCATTTAAAACTTGCAAAGAGAATGGAAATGTGATATAACATCTCACGACGACTAGTACAACTCCAAAATATATAACTTTTTTACCTGACGTTTCACCTTACGCCTTTTCCAAGGCCTATTCTACAAATTTTTTTCTTCTTTTTGCAAATTATCTTAGTGGGGTGGCCGCATGGCCAGGTGGTTAGGGCGCTCAACTCACAATCTGTGGGTCGCGGGTTCGAATCCCTGTCCCACCAAACATACTCGCCCTTTCAGCCGTGGGGAGGTTATAATGTGACGGTAAAAGAGTAGCCCAAGAGTTGGCGGTGGGTCAGCCGTGGGGAGGTTATAATGTGACGGTAAAAGAGTAGCCCAAGAGTTGGCGGTGGGTTGTGATGATTAGTTGCCTTCCCTCTAGCTTTTCATTGCTAAGTTAAGGATGGCTAGTGCAGATAGCCTTCTTGTAGCTTTGTGCGAACTTCCAAACAAACCAAACCTTAGTGGGGTTTGATTGCCACAAAATACTGCACCTGTGACCTATTTATGGAACGCGTTTTTATCACAACAGTTCCTGAACCAGGAATTTTCGGAAACTGTCTGGGTTTGCTAGCTACTTGGGCAAAATATTGTGTACATAATATTCACACATAAATTCAACAACTATCTAATTATGATATTAACCCTAAAATTAAATTGAATACATAGATATAACTTTGGTAATTATGCTTTCAAATCGTGAGGATATATACTGATATAAGGATATGTATAAATTGCAATAAAGTCTTCAGATTTGTTGTATGCAACAAAATGTGAAAATTTAGAAGTACACAAACATACAAAAATATTGAAATACACGTAGTACTGAAAGAGTATTGTAGGACAAAATTTGTTTTACATGAATTTGCATTAAGATTCCGTTGAAAATATAAAAAAATGCCTTATTTATAACTTATATAACATTAGACTGTTGGTACGTTTAAAAATGCCTTATTTATAACTTATATAACATTAGACTGTAGAAAAGTCTTGAGAACAAATGTATATTCTGGAATTATGCCAGTTATCAAATCCGTTTTACGCGTGAATGAAATAATACCAAAATGTAAGAATTGGCTCCCGCTATACAAACTGTCGAATATTGGTTTGATGAACATAATGAATTCTGTTCTGAAGGCAGACAAAATATTATCAAAATGAAATTAGTTCAACCAATTCCGTACACGAAATACTAGCAAAGTCTAAGAAAGTCGACTCAGTTGTGTACAAATAAAAAAGACCAAAATATAAGTGGACCCATTTTGCACATACCAGAGATAATGTAAAAATATAGACAGTAAATCCAGTTCTATACACACCAGAGATACTACCAAACTACAGATAGTGGATTCAGTTCTATACACACCAGAGATACTACCAAACAACAGATATGGATCCAGTTCTATACACACCAGAGATACTACCAAAACACAGAAGGTGGATCCAGTTCTATACACACCAGAGATACTACCAAACAACAGATAGTGGACCCAGTTCTATACACACCAGAGATACTACCAAACAACAGATAGTGGATCCAGTTCTATACACACCAGAGATACTACCAAACAACAGATAGTGGACCCAGTTCTATACACACCAGAGATACTACCAAACAACAGATAGTGGATCCAGTTCTATACACACCAGAGATACTACCAAACTACAGATAGTGGATTCAGTTCTATACACACCAGAGATACTACCAAACAACAGATAGTGGATCCAGTTCTATACACACCACAGATACTACCAAACTACAGATAGTGGATCCAGTTCTATACACACCAGAGATACTACCAAACAACAGATAGTGGATTCAGAC